TACATCCCCAGCCCTGTCTTATTTTCAACTTTGCATTAGTGTCTTCCTAAATCAATAAATTGCTTAGCCTGGCTCAAACTTAAGATCCTCTTGTTTCATCCTTCCAGAGTGCTGAGATATTAGACATATGCCATTATGACTGGCTATGTTTTCTCTCTTTTTATTCAAGTACCTACATGACATTTCCAGTTATACCTCTTGGCCTACAGTACCTAAATTAATGCCTGATTTTTACTACATTTAATATTTACTGCTTTTCTTTTAAAGTTTGCTGACACCTGTATTAAAGCATGAGTCTGAAAGTGTTGTCAATTAAATTTAAATCGCTCGATGAATTTCCAGGTATCCAAATATGTCAGAGTCACATTTTAAGATTGAATATGCTAGATGAAGAAGGGCAAGTAGGAAAAGCTGCATGCTGCTCAGGTTGATGTTAAGTCTAACTAAAGATTAATTGTGATATTTGTCGGGGGAAAACCATGATTCTTTAGAAATGGACAGTAACAACTTTTTGCTTTCTCAGCAAAAATTCATGTGGAAATTATTACAAAAAAGCAATTCCATTTAAGTTATTTTTAACAATCTTGTAGGTGATTTATAACAATAATGATATTCAGATATATTAGAGATTATTTAAATTAATTATATTCAGTCCACTGTGTTCTATGTCTGACTGGCTTTCTTTTGACCATCATTAGGTGTTATTAATGACATCATTTATTTTTTACATCTTCAAGGTTGGCTGTAGGAAGAATATAGCGCTTCTCATTCATTTATTACAAAATGTTCTTTGTGCCCTTATTTTGTGCCAGACATTTACACAGATACCTGATAAAAAAATATGTTAAATGAGGTATAAATGAAGCATCCCTTCATAGGGTTTGATTTTTTCTTTTTAAGTTTTAAATTATTACTCTCAATATAAGCTCTGGTACATAAAAACAGTAGCCAGACTCCTTAAAAATAGAATTTATATTATAGTATTCAAACAGAAGTTTGTACTAAGTAGATCTTACTATCCAAAGACTACTGAGACTAAAATATGACTATAATAATGAATCATTTTTAAGAAGGACCAAAGATTTACTGTAAGTGGAAAGAAAATATTTGATTGATAATTTACTTGAAAAACAAAATTTAAGGTTTCTTCATAGCAAGCAGTAATATGCAATCATGTGTCCAACCTTATATAACTATTATCTGTTAATCTGAGCAAAAGATTTGATGGTAAAAATAGATAATTGTTAATCAGCTGTTCTTGTTTTGAAAATCTGTAACATAAGCATTGCTGTATGTTAAACTATTTCTGTCTTTGTTTCTGATTTTTTGTTCTTGTATTTTCTTACTTTTCAAAATATAATAAAATTAAATTTTAAAAACACAATTAAGAAGTATGGGACCTGCCAAATAGCTCAGCGGATTAAAGCCCCTGCAAGCAGGCACAGGGGCCAGGATTTGATCCCCAGTGTGCTGTGTTGGTCCTGCCCCCAGGGCACACTGAGTCAGTGATTGAGACTGGGTATGGTGGCATGTGCCTGTAATCTCAGTACTTTAGAGGCTGTAAACAGGAAAATCACTACTGAGGCCAATCTAGTAGTGAGACCCTGAACACCTTGTAGACCCTTCCCTAAAATACAATCAATCAATCAATCAATCAATCAATCAATCAATTTTTATAAAAGAAATATGAAAGCACATTTTCATTTAATTAACATTTAATGTAAATATGTCCAACATTTAAAAAAATGAATCAAGATTTAGTTTTGGTATATGAGTCTTAATTTTTCTAACATTGTATGTCAGCATAAAATATCTTTAATCTTGTATTCAGCTTTTCAGAATGATCATAACAATTAGTCTGTATTACTTAGATAAAAATGTAGGTGCTTATATAACAAATGTCTTATCAAGAAAATGTCTTTGTTACATTCTTGTTACTAAGACAAAATACCCAATACCCAAAGGAGAAAAGCTTACAGTGCACAGAGGTTTCCATCCAGTTAGTTGGCTCCAAAGCAGGGAAATGCACTAGAGGGACATGGTAGAGGAGAAACAGTTCATGGCAAAGCAGGCAGGAAGTAGGAGCACCAGGCAGCAGGCAGCAGGCAGCAGGCAGCAGGCAGAAGGCAGTAAGCCTCCCTTTGTCTTTTATCCCATCCAGGATCTATCCTTGGAAGTCTTTTGTGTGGTTCCACTCATGCCTTGAGTGGCCTTCCTATTACCTATGAGAAGAATAATGCTAAACCAGTCATGGGACTAATTTATTTTCCACTCCCTTGATCCACACTCACATAGAGATAGCCAGCTCCTTAAAGCCCCAGCTATGGGTATATGAGACTTTGGGGAAATAATCTAGATACAACCTGTAACATCAAGTTTTATGAGTGTGTGCCTAACATTGGTACTAAAATCATTTTGTCTTGAAGCATCTTCAATGTGATGATCATTGGCCTCTGTCTTGTGAATGGTCCAAATTTTCCATAGCTATTCTTCTCAGTGGCCTTCTTTCCAAAAGTATTTCTGTGTTTTCATTAAATCCAGCATGTTCATCAAATTTTAATTTTTACTTCACAATTGATTTGTATTCTAGTTATTGCATTTAGTTGTTTTGAGTTAGTTTAACCAGACCAACCAAGTATGATATTAATTCAGTGAGGCAGAAAAGAATACTGGTGACAATCAGAGCTTTTAGAATGAATAGTCACAAATTAAATGATTTGTGAATTTGTGAATGTTTTTTATTGATGGGTTGATTTTTTTGTCTCTCCAACTCTAACACTGAATATTTTAATAATAAATATTTAGCAACAATGATTCCTTGTAGTTAGGAATTTAACACAAAATTTTGGTGCCCAAATCCAAAAGAAACCAAAATAATGAATTTGTCTTTCTTCCAGAGAATACAGAGATAGCAGAACTGCCTAAAATCTGAATATGTTAACCAACTTTTAAAGGAAAACAGTAGCCATGTCTTGTTTTGGAAATTTGGAATCCTGAGCCAGAGGTGGGGAGCTCCCCTTAAACTGCAGCCTTAAAATCAGCTTCCTGTACCCCAAAAAGAACCATCCCTGGCCTCTATCTCCTCTCAATTCCTGTCTAAACTGCCAATCAATAATTAGGACTGAAATCAAAATCAGCATAAATGTCATACCTCTTAATGCAATTATGCAAATCAGCACCTCAACACTAAACATCTACATAGCTGTGAGAAAAATCTGCAATAAGATTTTATTGGCACTGGCTTCTAAAATGTGCAGAATAAAACAAAATTTAAAGTCTGTTCATTCAGAGACCAGAACCCTGCTACATCATGGATTTGTAAAAATCCACTGGGAACTTTTCAAATAGATTAGACATTGTAAGTGATTTTCTTAAACACAGGTTCAGTAATTTGTTTCTGCAAGTGAGATCCCCGCACTTTCATAGCTTGTCGTGTTGATAGTGCAATTTTGTAAATAGCAGAACAAATGAAAGGTAACTCCTGCTAGAAAAATCAAAGCACTGAAAGGCTACTGCAGAAGTGGAAATAAGCTTCTCCCAGATGTCAGAGTTCTTGTGTGCTAGTCTTGTTTGTCCTCTAATTAAATTCCAAGGGAAGCTGTTTCCCTCTCAAGGGACATCTGCCTTCTTCAGGGTAGAGGGCTGAGGGGCTTAGGCCTTCACCTGCTCATCATGCCTCAAGGGGGACCAGAAGATAAGCTAACACCTCTTGTTTTAGTTCACAGAATGAATACCAGGGTCTGAAAATTACATACATTTAGGGAAAAGGAGTTCAAGTCCTGCTTACACCATGGAATCACTACAATTTGGGAACATAACATTAGTTATCTCTTTAGTAGTATTTTATCAAGATTTTTTAATTTAGCACATGTACAAATTTAATAATTATAGCAAGTACTTAATGAAAAAAGAGAACTATAAAAGTATAGTTTTTAAGTGATAATCCAAATCTTAAAAATCAAAATGAATTGACATAAAATATCTTGTCAAAACAAATGTCTGTAAGATTTTTAAATAACTTTGTTAATTTCTCTTCATTTCAAGCAAAAAATTATAAATTGTTGTCCTAAGTTAGAAATGCCAGATTTAGTTTCAATACAGATATAAATTTATTGCATATAATTTGAAAAAGTTTAGGTAACACATTTTATAAAGATATAGAAGAGAGTTTAACAATACATAAAAGGGATTCTTTTTTTTTTTTTTTTTTTTTTTTTTTTTTTTTTCAGTATCAGGGATTGAACGCAGGACCCTGTGCTTGCCTGGAAAACACTTATTCTACTGAGCTTTCTGCCCGGCCCTCTAAAAAAAGAATTCTAAATGCTCCATTTCTCTATGGTATTGTTTGCAATAACTAAACAAAGGTTTTGCACTTTAAAAGCAAATTTCAAGCCACTGTGAGAACATATTTTTAATATTCACCTTGATGGGAAAAAACCTTCTCTGAAAAAAAAATACTCAATAAAGTCTTCATTGTGTCACTTAAAAGTTGTGGGACTCTAATCACCTTGTTGAAGCTCCTCAGTCCTCAATTTGCTTCTTTCTATATTAAGTCTGTACTAAAGAGTCAGAATCACACTCTGGGATGTTTTTAAAACTCTGAATCAGTAAGGTCTAAAATATCTGTTAACAAATGCAGCAAATATTATTTTCTGCAATTCTCATCATTTTATGTCAATAGGAAGAAGCATCTGCAAAGCAGAACATAGACTGAAAAATCAGTTTTCCAAAAAACACACATTCAGAGTCCATCACTGTTTATGTCTAACACAAGGTGATTGCCAGAGGCTGTGCAAAGCACCTGTAAAAATGTCCCCCTCCACTCATGTAGCATCTTACTGTTCCTTATGCTTTTGAGGATAGATGTATTTGATTGAAGACATCACTGGTTTCTCATGAAAGAATTCACGGATTAATTCAACAGTAGCTACTGAGCACTCACGTCCAAGGTGTTAGCCCAAATATCATCCATATCTAATTCTGTGGTTGCTCTCTCCTAGGACCCACCGATCTCAGCATGAAGAGGCAGTTGGCAACCAGTTCAGGGTCATCCAGCAGCTCAAGCTCCAGACCACAGCTGAGTCCAACTGAAATCAATGCTGTGAGACAGCTTGTTGCAGGATATCGGGAATCAGCTGCATTTTTATTGCGTTCTGCAGATGAACTGGAAAATCTCATTTTACAACAGAACTGAGTCGAATGATGACCGTATTCACTGAATTCTAAATTTGCAGTTTCCACTAATGACATTTTGATTTCCCAGCAGAGGTACTTCTGGTCTTACTGCACAATCTTTTAAGAAAAATACTTCCATTATGCCACATTGTCCCTGATCCATAAAATGATGTGTTAAGGTGCTTCAAAGGAACTCTGACCTCTGAAGTACTTGAGATACTTAAGTGTGTCCAGCCTATTGCTTTTTGTTTTAGTATGTCAGCGTAACTATCATGGGCAAACAAGGCTGCATATTCTTAACTCAAGGATAAAATGGAAGAAACTTGTGGTATTAAAAAAAAAAAAAAGTAGCTCAAGATCCAACTGAAACATTAGTGGAATTCGCTGCTGACTCATTGGACTGAAAGCTGAATTACCTGGCAAAAAAAAAAAAAAAGCCAAATTCTTGTTGCTACAGAATATAACAACAATGAAAAAGGATCTTGTATTTTAAAAAAATATGTAATTTTTATAAAAAGAAAACTTGTTTTTCATTCAGAATTGTCATTTTTACTTTAGTAACTTTTTCATAGGTCCTAAAAGAAAACTGTTTTGAGAAAATACTGTAAGTACCTTTTCCATATCCCTTTGCCTCCTCCTCTTTCCAAATTCTTTCTACAAAAAAAAAAAAAGTAACACTTGATGCTGGAAAAAAAAAAAAAAAAAAAACCTTGCCTACGTTCTTAAAATTGTCACATCAGGAACTACTTCTAAGAGAAGCCTGCAATTCTACATGGATACTGGTCTCAAAAAAATAAAAATAAAAAGTAACAATCCACTCCATACTGCAACTTTCCCATAGCAGTTTTCATCAAAGAATTGTTTTCAATGTTCATGTTGAGGAAAACCTTCACACTTTGGTTCCTTTAGAACCGCTCGCTCCCGATTGCCGCTGCGGCTGTAAGAGCATCCCTCCAGCAGCAACTGGATGTAGATGACTGAATGTTGAGAGGTTGCAAGTGACAATCCGAAAATTTGCACTCTTGTGTGTAGTCTTCTTTTCATTTATCTCTTTCAGGAATATTTCCCAAAAGACCATTATGTCTCCTGGTATGATTTGTATAATTTGCAGTTTTAGCTAAAAATAAAGAACTGTCAGCGGATGCAGCTGCGACTTAGAATGAACTTCACCCTCCTCCATATTTTGCCCTTCTTTCTTCTTTTCCAGTGTTGGATACACTTGAGTGATGTTTTCTTTGTGCACTGAAGCAAGCCTATGTTAACATACTTAGGAAGAAGTACTTTAGTTGATATTTCTTGTATAATTATTTATTTCTGTCAATGAGCTTCGGTTGGATTACAAATCTTTTGTGCATTCCTCAATTTGCCTTATTTCATGTAAAATTAATGTCATTCAGTTTTTGACAATGAGTTGAAGGCATCAGTGGTATTTCTTATCTACTTGTTGCATATAGTTTTTCAAGTAATGACTGTGATTGTGACCGAGTAATGTGCACTTTTCCTTGTATCTGTGGACATTGCTATGCTTTTTTTCTTCTAGTGTTTCTAGAATTACTATTCCTTACAGTTATGTAAACAAAAAATGCAAAAAACAAAAAAAGAGAACTTTTGTGATACTGTTGGTGAATCTAATGTGAAAATCTTATTGAAATATGAGTATTTTGGAAATACATAGATGCACAAACATCTTTTAAGGTGTGGATTTAGAGTTTGCTTATTTAAATGAAAAATCAAAAAATTGAGGGCTGGTATAATTTTTCTCTGTTTTGTTTGGTTTTAATAAACAAATTTCTGTGTTAAACAATGGTTGTGAAACCTTATAAGTTTTCTGCATAATATGATAGCTAGTTTTTCACAGTTTAAAATTTGAAATCCTATTTTGTGACTGCCATTAGCGGATTTGAGACTCCAAACTTATTTCTCAAAAATATACCAAGGTTCCCCAGAGCCTCAACATTCAGTATAACAAAGAACTTATTATTCTAAGAAGGAATAAAGAAAATAGTAAGCCACTTCATTGGACTATTTAAATCTTATTTAGGAATATAAATTCCTGCTATCTCTTATCCCTCACGCTTTCAGGAGTAACCTAGCTCTTTCCATCCTTCCAGTCTTAAAGAGAAGCTCACACTCTTCTTAAAAGTACCTGTATCATTCTTGGGGAGTGGTTGTAGTAGCATTTAGAGGCTTTGACATAATTTCCATGTCATAGATTAGCACTCAAGCTTGAGTTTAGTATACAGATAAGAATTTTCTTAATCACGATAATGAAGCAAATGGAATACAGCAGGTAAGTCTCAGCCAAGTGCTTGCTTTTTTATTTCATCTTCCATTGTAACTCCCTCACCTGTTCACCAAGGGCTAAATTCTTCAATGTCTTCTGTTTCTCCTGCTCTTATCTGGCAGAGTGATGGCCTTAGACTCCCATCATTTCCCTGCCAGAGAGCAGAGCTCAAATGAAGTGCCAGTACAGTTCCTTTGTAACCCATACCCGACGAATAGCCGGGTCTATTCGACACTGTGTCATAAAAACACAAAGGCATCACAGCTCTCTGTAAAGTCTTCAGAGAAATGCAGGAAAATTCATGTTCTCACTGAAATGAGGCAATGGAAAACTATCAACAGCGCAGCCAGAAGTTTCTGTCCCTTCAGCCAGTTTCCTGTTATAGATGTAGGGTAAGTGAGAAAGTATTCCTTGAACTAGCCATGGACAACACAAGCATAGTCACTGGAAACATTTTATATTGTGTAACTCAATAAAAAAAACACTAGTTGAAAGGTCATAAGATGAATGAGAACCACAGCACACTGGTTACTTATACAATGAAAGGCATTTGTTTCTTTTATGTCTGAAAATAATGTGATAATATTGACACAGTTTCTCTGTCCATCCTACAAAATAGGCTCAGAAAGAGCCTGCATGGGCTGGGGAGATAGTTCTGTGGCCTATGTACCTGTCTGGCAAGCACAAGGACCCGGGTTTGATCCCCAGCACTGATCCCCTGTGCATAGCAAGACCCTGCACCAAATAGATAAAACAGTAGAAAAAGTGTCTGCAACTGAACAATTTAGGGAAATCTGTCTCAAAAAAATAAATAAATAAATAAATAAATGAATAAATAAAGTTTAGGTGTGCAGTACTGTGAGTGGGACCTTGGTTTAGTCCCTAGTACCACAGAGAGAGAGAGAAAGAGGTAGGGGAAGAGAAGAGGAGGGGAAGGGTAGCGAATGGAAAGGAAGACTGCCCTCCTGGAACTGCAAAGACAGTGTGAGCTGTAACTATTTGAGCCCAGACATACCTGATGCTGGTCGCTCCCCATTGGTTGTAATCATCAGTGCTTCCAGGTACAGAATCATTACATCCTATGCTAAGTCTTGGATACAGGCTTTTATACTAAATTTTAGCAGTTTTAGTCATGCAGATAAATCACAGTTATTAAAATAGTTCACTAAACACAGAGATAGTGGGTTATAGAATTTTAATTTCCTTCAAGTTATTTTCTCTGCAAATAAAAAGAGCTACAATAAAATTCACCACTAATGAAAATCAAATACCCACGGCATGACGGGGAGATGCAGTGACTTTTGAACAACAGTGGGTGCCAATATTGAATCACGTAAGGCGAGATTAAAAGGGATTATCTAGTTAAACCTATAAAGAGAAACCTTATCATTAATACATGAATGCAGATATCATCCAAACTGGTCTTTTATGTCAAAAAAATATTTTCTGAGTTCAAATGGGCCGTGGTTCAGGATGTAACTCAAAGAAAAAAATACAGCAGATATACATTAAAATGTTTATCTTCTAATGCATGATTGGGGTGCAGAAATTTGCTAAACTAAGGCTTGAGTACAAATGTACAGAAGCTCTGTTTTAAAATGTTTTGAAAGACGTGAAATACTACTGATACATAAATCTATTTCCAGGGCTGGGATAGTAGCTCAGTGGCATAAGCACTTGTGTCGCAAGTACAAGGTCCTGAGTTCAATACCCGGCACTGAAAACAAACAAAAAAAAATCTATTTTCAGTCTTAATGTCAATCATGTTTGGCAGTTATATGTTATTTTAGGGTTACAAAAACAATTGGGGAAGTATACAAAAAGAAAGAAAGAAAAATAAATCCAAGACTCCATAAAGAACATTTTCTAGTTTATCCTCAGATTTTATCAAAAATGTACATAAATATTTTATGTTGGATTTTACTGAGTGTTTCATCATTTGTTTTTTCTAACAATGATATACTGTCAATATTTGCTACATCATCTACTATTCTTAAATTACTTTTAATGATTGTATAGTATAACATCATATGAATGTACCTGTATTTGTTTTTTATTGCTATTGTATCAAATATCCACAAACAGCATACAATTATTACAGCTGTGAAAGTTAGAAAGTTTCACTGAGCTTAGATCATGGTGTTGAGTGGACCTTGTTCTCTGGAGGCTCCCCAAGGAGACTGTAGCTTCTAGAGTCAATCTTCTTTCTCCTCCAAAATATTTAAGAGTCTTGTGGGTACACTGGGACCACCTGGATAGCACAGGAGAATCTCTTTCTATGAAGATCAGCTAATTAACAACCTTAATTCCACCTACAATCGCAGCGGCTTACTCTGATATATAACAAACACCTTCACAGATTCTGATAATTAGGACACTGCTATCTCTGGGGAACCATTATGCTAATTCTGCAGTGCCTTAATTTAATTTCCTTTTTAATTTTTTAAAGATATCTCTGTATCCAGTTGTATTTGTCCATTCACTTGCAAGAAAAAGCCTCAGTTAGCAAATCTTCCATTGTACAAATAATTTTAAGTTGCTATTTTTCTTTCCTATGAACTACAAAAGGTATCAACTTTTGGAAATTACTTTAATGAGATTTTCCAGGAACGTGTCTGATTCAAGTTAAAGGTAATAACAAATATGATAAAGGTGCAGATATATCTTTCAAGGGAAATAAAGCAAAAATACCTCTGGACCCATTCTCCACATTGTTTTCCTAGAAACTGTTTCTACCCAAGAAATTCCCTGAGATGTTTGAGAGACTCCAACTCATTAGGTCAGAAGGAATGCATGAGGATCCAAAGCTTAATTAAACTCTATGAGCAATTCTAGTACATTCATCACTAATGATAAGCAGCAACGACTTTTCATTTACTCTAAACAATCAAAATATATAGTCTAAGTTAGTTGTGATTAGATGACATATCTTTTAAAAGGGCTTAACCATAACATATCTATTGAATTTAGAATAACCATTTGAGTTTTAAAAGTCCAGTTTATTGCCTTCATTTCTTTGCTAGAACAATTTTGTTTCCATACTATGAACCTTATGCCCCTCATTTACTCCTATTACTCGCCTCTCACAAAGTCCATCAGGTGAAAGAAGAGCAAAGGTCAATGTCAGGATGATTTGTAATGCAATGAGAAAAGATAATAGAACAAAAAGCTCAGACCGTGGAGGCCAAGGGATTGACACCAGTCTTTTCCTTGAGACTTCTGATTTCTCCTCCTGTTTATTGGGGAGTTCATTAGATCAAGCTGCCTGTAAGAGATATGTTGTATTCAATAAAGGTATTCTTAGAGGGCTGATCGAATAGCTCAGCACCTGCAAGCAGGCACAGGGATCAGAAGTTTAAGCACTGGGCCTGTCGTGCTGGCCCCACCCCAGGGATGTACTGAGATAGCAATTGAGACTGGGAGTGGTGGTGCGTGCACCTGTAATCCCAGCCCTTGGGAGGCTGTAAACAGTCAGATCACTATGAGTCCTGAACAGCCTGTAGACCTTTCCCTAAAAATAAAATAAATAATTATTTTGTAGTAACAGTACTTGCAGCCTAAGAAGGTACATGATTTATTCTTAATTTCTTGGTGGTAGGCAGTTACTGAGTTTGGCCATGAAACAAATCCAGAGGAATAGCTAAGTTTATGAACTACATTCTAATTCATCGAGTTAGTTTTTCTTTACCTACTCTATGCAGGACATTGCACTCTGATACAGAAAATTACTATTTCTGATCCAATGAGCCAATGTCTTGCGAGAAAAAGAGAAGTATGAGTAATAGCAATACAGCGAGCTTAAGGACAGTCATGTCATAAGCAATGACAGAAACCTGCCAGCGAAGCCTACGATGGAGAGGACAGCGTTAGTTGGTCACAGAGTCTAGAGCTGTGGAAAATATCTAGCAATATCGTTGAGTGGATTTGAGAGCACAGAAGAAAAAACTATATCCATGAAGGATGTTTCACCTACATGGGACATGAACATGAGATGTACAGGGCAAATGTGGGGGAGCACACTGTTCATGGTAACTCAGCTCAACATGGGTGAAGAGCAGAAGTGAAGGTTGAAATGAGATTTCAGGAAAGTAGCAAAGGTGATGAGCGGAACCTTAAAAATCATGCTTACAGTCATGCCCTGTACAGTGCTGAGATTTTATTACTTTATTCTAATTTGTAGTGTTAGGGATCAAACTCAGAGCTTTGTACATCCTAAGAAAGTACCCTACCATTGAGCTACAGACCCAGCCCCCACTGATGTGTTTGAAATAGGGGAGAGGTAATAGCTTGGTTCTTTTTGGGACCATTTGCATGATTAATGAGCAAGAATTTTTGTATGTAATGCAGAGTCTACAGGGTCTCACTATATAGATTGGACTCATAGTGATTGTCCTGTGCTAGGAGAATTTGGATTGGATCTTTCAATTGGATCTTTAAAATTGATAAAGAAATTTTCAATTCTTTATATGTTCTGCATATAATTCTTCCATTTGATTCTTCCCAAATGCTGGGATTAC